TTTCTAGAAATTTCAAATCAAACATGTTTTTCAATTTTTCGTTTTGAGAAACAATTTTTCTGAATGACAAACTAAACAAGTTTTTTGCCATCTTAAAACAGAAGATTGAAAATGAATTCAAAACAAAAAAAACCAAAATGTAAACCCTATGGGGTCTTAGTTTTTCTAGATCTTGAAAAAATATTTTTAAAAAAATGATCAAAAGTTGACCAAAGAAAATAAAATCAAATCCGGACATCATAACAATTCAAAGAAACTTGCAATGACCCAAGCTTCGTGTCCTGTCATTTTCTTAAGTACTATCCGCTTTTGGAAAGATTAAACCCATTTTATCCCTCACGATTTTTTGTCGTGTTTCTCAAAATTTGAACATTTGACATTTCTCTTAAGAATGATTTAAGCTGAATTCGAGTACCAATTGGTCCCGAATTTTATATTCTTAAGTTGGTTGGTGTAACGCATTTAAGAAACAAGCCATGGAAGCAAAGGACCATTTAAGGTAATAAAAGTCAATTCATAAGTTATTTAAAAGCCCAAAGATTTAAGATATTAAGTTTAAGTAAATTTGATTACAAAGATTTAATGAATATTTGAGTTGTCACAATAGTCATTTGCATTGTATTTTATATAGGTAACCAAAGTTCGAATCACAATACAGATATTTTAATAAATAAATATAAATATACTTATAAAAATATTTTTGCGTTAAAAAATCACCATTTTACACATTAAGAACAATTATATTAAGTTAATTGGACATGATAAGTGTTTTTTCTAGTAGATATTCATAAAGGTAGGTTACAAATCATATGAGTAATTCATTTTTCTTGTTATGAAAAGAGAAAAAAAGAGAAGATAGAATAAAAGTCAATAGATTGTGTATATTATAATGAGATCCAAAGTCCCATATTTATAGGGAGTGATTAGGGATACAATGATAATAATTTTTAGGTTGTAGTGATGCAATTGTCATTCATTAATAAACTTACCATTTATAACAGTATCTCTTGAATGATACATTATAAAATATCAGTCTTCTTAAAATATTGTTTGATAAAATTCAATAGGACAACAAAAATGAAGGAAAAAGAGTATAATTATTTTGAAGTATTAAAATAAGTGCTGCCTCATTAAATTCTTATTAGGAAAATCCAATGAAATAAAATCTAAGTAAAGGAAAAATAGTATAGATACTTCCCTTGATATTAATCATTGTACTCTTTTTAGACGATGTATTCTAATCTCACGAACTAATTTCCTGAATGTAGATGTTGTCAGTGATTTGGTGAATAAATCAACTACATTCCCACTAGAGTGAATTTATTGAACATCAATTTCGTCATTATTCTGAAACTCATGTGTATGAAAGAATTTTGCAAAGATATGCTTTGTCTTATCACATTTAATATATCTTCCTTTGAGTTGTGTAATACAAGCTGCATTGTTTTCATATATAGAAAAGTATTATTTTGAGAGTAAATGTCTTTTACGTTATGGGCATTCATTACACAAAAATTATGCCTCGTTAAAACCTTATTAATAAAAACATTGTAGGAAAAATCCTAATGAAGTAAAATAATTACATTATTCTTTTGAATATGCCACAAATATTGTCTCATTTAAAACTTTGTCAGGAAAATCCAATGAGACAAAGCCTAGGTTAAGGAAAAAGAGTACAATGCGTATTTACTTCTCTACTAAATCTTTCGATGACAGTATTAAATTTATTTAAGATAAGTTGACTATAATCACATTTATTATATGCATACCAAATTTCAGGCATTGACACGCTAACAAGGTAGAGACCTGTGATTACATTCACCTCATTATAACTTATCTATTTTTGCAAGTCTTCGCGCAAATTTATTATGTAAAGAGTCGTATATTTCATATTACGGCTTTGCTTTAGGTGTTCAAATTGTAGATCTAGAAATTTCAGGTTTATCTAGTAAATTCAATTTGCTAGATCACATCTATTTATTTTGGTCAATCATTGCTTCGATCGATATATTTTGACAAATTTATTTCGATTCCTCGCTATTCATAATATGATGCAATACATCATGTGTAAAAGTGCGGTCGACAACTTTTTCTTTTCAATTCTATTCTTTTCTCATAATCATATAACTTATTCAGATATTTCAATTTTCAACATATTAGGCATTTGAACATCTTCTTAGATTTTATAACTTGTCATGTCTAAAAACCACATTAAGAGTTTATGCCTTCTTAATGGGACCATATTTATTAATTGTTCCATTTTAATTTGAAAATTTTATATTAGAATCAAACATCATCACGCTTCAAGTGTGCCATCAAATATCATATTGACTAATTATCTTCCATGACATTAATTCGAGACGAAGCATTTAAAGCTGATGTATTTTCAGCTTCTTAATTTCTCATTGTAATGCTAAGAAAATTGTCCAATCAAAATTGACAATAATTTTTACAGCTTTATAAAACATTACTCATTTGGGAAAAGGGTTCAAGCTACGCATTTATTCTCAACATTCTTTACTTTTCATCTTAGTGCATTGTGGTGGGTCAAATTTTCATATATATTGCACTATCAAAATAATTAAATAGAAAATTAGGCTCTTAACATAAGCCAATAATAACAGAGAAAATTATGATTTTTTGCATAATGCATAATAGTATTCTCTAAACAAAAACAGGAAGTACTTGTTCTTAATTAAATCAATTGGAGGCATTTAACAAACAACAATGCGGAACCATTTATCGACATCTCAACTAACAATTACTATAAGTTGAGATTTAGAATCACTAATATTAATAAGATACACTGTCTTGATTATATAATCTGAAAATTATGCTCATAATTTGAGTAGTAATTAAACTTCAGGTTGTGAATACTGTGCAATTATCTAGTATTTGTATCAAATCTATTAGATACAAATAATATTTAGATGGTCAACGTGAATGATGACGGGACCTCATTTATCACCCTAGTTAATTTTCAAAAATATAAGAAATTCAATCCCTATTTTAGCCAGTAATGTTTAATGAAACGTTTTATAAGATTTCATTGGATTGAAGAATCTTATGATTTTTTATTGAATATTCATTTGAATTCTTTAACTCGCATCATTATTAATCTAATGATGGTCCAACTGATTATGTCAAATAATAAGATCAAATTGAACTTCTGGTTCAATATAAGATATAATTCAATAGTTTAATTTCGAAGAATATGATTGAATATTATATACTCAAATGATATTCAATCAAGAAGACAAATTAATCAATGTCAACATGATATGAGTTATATGTTTTCCTTCAAGGATAAGCATAAAAAATGATATACTATTTGAAACCTATGCTATTCCGGGAGCTCGTTGTATATACTATTGTTTCTTCAAGAGTAATATATTAATATTCTTTTATAATATGAGTAATAATGTTATTATTATTTGAAATAATAAATTGTATAACAATTTACTCTTTAAGAGTAAAAAATATTGTTTTTAATTATGCTCTTCAGAAGCAACTAAAATACGTTTACAGATTAATGAAGACGTAAAAAAATAGAGTAATTTAACTTTTTTTTTTTTAACTGAGAAATCAATCAGCATTCTTTTGATATTGACATTAATGATTAATTCAAACTTTCGAGTTAAATAATATAATTAGAAGTTATACTATACATGATCAATAATGTGATATTCTTATATATATATGGCTAATTAGCAAAAAACGTCTCTATCGTTTCAAATTTGGCATTTGTACTCTCATTTTAAACCTTTCTTGTGAATGTGGTCCTTTCTGTCTCGTTCCGTTAATTTCACCGTTAAATAAATGCATAAAATTCACTTACATTATTTGGAAACGGTAAATTAGTCAAATCACTATAATTTTTTTGGGGGGAAGTTCTTGTAGTTTGCTTAGACTTTATACTGTGGCTAACAAAATCCCCAAATAGATTAAACCACACCAAACCTCACTTTTCCAAAATCTTCCAAAGAAAAGAAGCAGCCCTTTGAACCCATTTACCACCTTCCCTCTGCCATCCCGACACCGGCAATTGCAATGTCGACGTTGGTAAGTTTTATTTCCTTTCCAACGAATCAATAAACTGCTGCCTACATTTCTTATATTGTTCTTTCTTTGTTTAGATACTCATCAGTATATGAAGGGATGATGAGTGTTATAGCGTCTATTTATAAGAGTAGGGAGAGTCCTTGAAATTCACGAGTCACGACACCTACTATATTTGTTTCACATTCACATATCCTTGAAATTCTGGGAGATTGTAATGGTAAAATGGATGTTAAGATAGTGTCAAGAATGCGTCAGAAATGATTTGTGAAGATGGGTGTGTTGGTGGTCTAGATATGACATGGATGGATTATTAATTATTTTCCATTTAGCTTAACAGATTTTCATGGTTGAATTGCAATAGTTATTGAAATTTTATAAACATTTATTTTACATTCTTATTTATAACCAGATTTGTATAAACAAATTTTATAAATAGATATTTATAAAAAGATTTTTATTTTTATTTGCATATTTTTAAATTGAGTGAACATAAAATGTTTATTACCATTTTAGTTAAATCAAGCACACTAATATTGTCTTCATTCTTTGTGCTGGAATTTTTAGTGTGATGCTTCAGATCAACCTCCAAACGAACATGCTGACATTCATAGTTGTGGGAGGTCTGATCCAATCAAAGAAGGATGCTATGTGCCTGATATTGAATGCAAAGATGAGCTAAACTAAGAATATGATTGGGATGATAGTTTTTCTTATGCAAATCAAGATATAATTTGGTCACAGGTGGAGGAAACCATGACATATCATGGTGGACGAAATGTAACTACTCCTGATGTCAATAATACAACTGAATCACATGATGGTGTAAATGAAGTACAAAACGAAGAACAGCAAGGAGAAGAACTGGATATGCACTTGTCTATTCTGACTATGAAACAGATGAAGACCCTGTTGACAATGCTGGAGTTGATCATCCAGAAATGAATGTGGATTTTGTATTTGGTTTTATAAATGAGCAGGAGGTAAGGGATTTAGACACAGACTATAGTGACTCAAATGAACTAAGGAGTTTGGATAGTGATGATGAAGAAGAAGAAGAAGGCCCTTCCCAAAAAAGGATAAGGAGGGAAGTATTCAATCCCAGGATAGATATGGAAGATCTAATATTCAAAGTTGGTAAGTAATGAAACTATAATTATCGCCTTCAGTTTTCTAACTAAATTTTTACACTACTTTTTCTGGATTGGTAGGGCAAATATTTGAGTCAAAGAAGGTTTTGAAAGATGCTATTACTGAGCATTTAGTGAGGCATAATAGGGAGATCAAATATTTGAAGAATGATGCTAAGAGGTTGAGAGCTACTTGTAAACAAATATGCTCATGGATTTTGTATGCAACAAAGCAAGAGGATAAGTTAAGCTTCGAAATTAAGACTTTTAAAGGTGGTCACAACTGTAGTATGGTGTACAAAAATAGGAGAGTAACTCCAACATACTTGGCAGGCAAGTATGCTTCTGATTTCAGGGTTGAACCTAACATGACATTCGGTGGATTTATGGATAAAGTTAAGAAAGCCAATTTAGGGGACATATCTATATGGCAGTTCTATAGGACAAGGGAAAAAGCAATGGAGAAGATAAGAGGGAGTGTTGTAGAGCATTATAGGGTCTTGGTTGACTATTATCAGCAATTAAGGTTGACAAATGTTGGGAGTACAATTCAATTGGAAGGGCGTGCAGGAGAATTCAAGAGGCTTTACATATGTTTAGGAGGATTAAAGGAAGGTTTCATTAATGGATGCGGGAGAGTGATTGGGATGGATGGTTGTTTTCTCAAAACAGAACATGGTGGGCAGTTGTTAACTGCAGTTGGGGTTGATGGCAATAACATAATGTATCCAGTTGCCTATGCAATGGTGGAGACTGAGAATGGAGAAAATTGGAGTTGGTTTTTGACATTGCTGAGAGATGACTTAAGGATTCATGACTCCCATGGATGGACATTCATTTCGGATAAACAGAAAGGGCTGGTAAATGCAATTGGATCACTCTTTGAACATCCAGAGCATAGAACATGCATTCGTCACTTGTATAACAATTTTAGTGCTACTCATAAAGGCTCAGCTTTAAAAAATTGTTTGTGGGATGCAGCAAGAGCAACAACAATTCCAAAATGGTTAGAACACCTGCAAAAGATGTTGGATTTGGACCCAGCTGCATATGGATGGCTTGAGTTAAAACCAGCTTCTCAGTGGACTAAATCACACTTCCAAGAAGAGACTAGATGTGACATGTTATTGAACAATCTATGTGAATCTTTCAATAGTACATTACTTAATGCAAGAGAGCATCCAATATTGACGATGCTAGAAGAAATTAGGGTGTATTTGATGAAAAGCATTGTAATCCGAAGGGAAGCTTGTGAAAAATGGAATGGAGAAATTGGGCCTAGAATTCAAAAGATATTAAACAAGAATGGTGAACTCACAAGGAGAGAGTATGCAGATTACTCCGACAATGGAAAGTTCCAAGTCAGGCATAACATTGGAACCCTAAATGCAGTAGATATCAAAGCAAAAACTTGTTCTTGTCGAGTTTGATAGTTGACTGGGATCCCTTGTTGCCATGTGATTGCATCCTTAATCTCAAGGAGAATGAAGGTTATTGACTATATAGATGACATCTACAAGAAGGCAGCCTACATTAGAACATATACACCCCCTATCTCACCCATGACAAGTCCAGATTTATGGCCTAATCCAGGTCTTGATCCCTTGAATCCACCTTTCTACACCAAAAAGGTCGGGAGACGAAAGAAGGCTAGACGAAAGGAAGCTAATGAACGTGAAGCTATGGGTTCACCAAGTAATGTTAAAGCATCTTCAAGCAACGCTAGGATATCAACAGGAAATGCAAGTAGGGTGGGGTTGAAGATGAAATGCAAGAAGTGTGGACAAATAGGTCACAACAAGAGAACTTGCAACACTTTGCCACAACCAAATGCTACTTGAGGATGTGGGATACCTAAAATATTTTTGACTTTTGACTGCTGCAATCATTTTGTAGATCTAATTTTTGTCTAATAGCTCAATGCAATATACATGGTAGACAATGTGGCATATCAAAAATATTGAGATCATGTTTGGTTGGTTAACAATGTAATTATCTATTGAATGTAGTAGGTTAGTTTTTTTATTTTTATTTTATTTTTTTAATGGTGTTTTGTATCTATTTTAGCAGGTTAATATTAAGAACTTGTACCACATTGTTTCTCAATGGTTATTTGTGCTAAATGGTTAAAGGGTTAGGTATGATATTTGCTGACAACGTTTTGAGAGGGAGTATAAACTTGTAGATTATATCAAATCATAAGGATGATATTAACCAAAAACTTTTAGAGAGGAAAAATATATAAAAACTTGACTAATTTACCCTTTTCAAAGAACGTGAGTGATTTTCATGCATTTATTTAACGGTAAAATTAACGAAACGTGACGAAAAGGACCACTTTCACAAGAAAGGTGTGAAATGAGGGTGCAAAAGCCAAATTTGAAACGATAAGGACTATTTTAGCAATGAATGCAAAGGATAGGGACGTTTTTTGCTAATTAGCCTATATATACTAATCTGCATCTTTCATCAAAAAGAAAACCTAAGCATACATAGACTTCACCATGCATGACCTATGCCAAAAGTTAAAAACATTTGAAAAATAGAATCTACATAAAGTATCTGTAAATGAAACATCTGAGAAGAACCAAGATACAGAGGATGAAACAATATAGAGAATGAAACTAATTGGCAAAGAAACAAACTTTAGTCCTGATGCCACGAATGGCTTCTTACAGTCATTCTCTACAATCTTCCAGTCAAGCTGTGCTACAAATCTAATTTCTTGTCCAAGCTTGAGTTTCTTCCAAACCAACTAAGGGAATTTCACTGCAATACTATTCCAGAGTAATCAGTAATCAATAGGACAAAATTATCAATCATATTTGAAAATGCAAAATAAATTTTGATTAAAAAAACAGAAGACATTTGCACGTGCTGTTATTTAAACCCTATCGAAGGAATTCTTGTTAAAATTTCCTTGTAATAGCTAGCATTAACGATGGGAACAGGTACCTTAAATTCAAAATGTTGGGTTATGTGCCAATATAGTATATGTTGCTATAGTAAAATAATAATTTATAATAAACAAATTGTAATTTTTTTATTTATTGCATTTATTTATTATTGAGCATGCGAATTAAAGTGCCTATGATCACTTGTGATGACATAAGTTAGGTACTTGCGTTTAAAAGTACAGTGTGAACCAGCTTATATTTTGATCATAAATAATTTGTTCACAACCAATGTATAAGAGTTGACATTTTATATTAGAAGGTTGTAGTGTTAATCGATTCACTATTCAAGTTTGTGATTTGTTCTTATCACAGAAATAGTTAAAAGTGATACTAGTACACTGAAGTGTATTGAACGGACTACATGACGAATTTAATTCTGTAGCATGATCGTGCAGAGAATTAAATTTCACTTGATCGTTGTGTATTTAATTTAAATCCCTTGATAGGATTATGTATATCTTTTCATGATTTTAATGACTCTTTGATTCATCAATAAATGAAACCAATTTGATTAGTTAAGTATCTCGATGAGTTAGGAGTTTGAGAATGAGCGAAGTAGACAATATGAATTCGTGTCGAAAATCGTCACCCTGAAAAATTGGTTGAGTGACTATTTAAGTATTTTTTATTGAACGGTTAAAATCTGAGCTCAGTATTTAGTGATGACTAAATTTTGACATATGTTATTAGTTCTTAGGACCAATGAAGAAAAATGTGCTTAAGTTCGGGAGAATAATTAGAAGTATAAAATGGTCATTTATGCTCATACATAGTTATCGAAATTCAGACGGTGATAAAATACATATACAGTAGGTCAGATGAAAGTATTAGAGATGTATTGGCTTCTATGATCTTATATATCCCAAAAGTTCAATCTTTTGCGTTTAGTGGAAAAAAAAAACTAATAAGTATAATTGTTAAATGTAAATGAATTGAATTTGGACTTTAATTAAAACTCCTACTTGAATTTTAATTAGAACTCTTATTTGAATTTGAAATTATTAGTTTGCAAGATTGGAACTATTCTATCTCTATAAATAGAGATTAGATGAAACCTAGACATCCTAGGGGATTGAATAGAACCCTACAACAATCATAATAAAATAATTCTATAGTGTTCAAATTTGAAGAAAAAAAGGATATAGAAAACAATCATTTTCTCATCTTATTCAATTTTCCAGTTCAAGAGTTAATTTCTTGATTTAATTAAAAGAAGGTGAACACCCATCATGTACTCTTGATTTTGGAGAATACCAAAGAGAAGATTTGGAGGTTTGAAACATTAAGTTTTTTTTTAATTAAAAAACTGGAAATTCGTGATCGAAAAAGGCTAGAAATTCGCGATTTAGAATTAAGTGAAGAATAGGCGATCTTGTTTATTGAATTAAAGAAAATTTTAATTTTTGGATAATTGCGCTTCCGCATTCCAACAACTGGTATCAGAGTAATCCAAATCGTTCACGTGCTTGTTATTTTGAATCTTGATGCCATGTTTTAGGAATAATTTATTATATGTTGATTGATTTGTGGCCAGTTCTTGATTGTAATTCGTTATTGCGAGTTTGTAACAAAATATGTGGATTAACACTTCATCATCTTGATTTAATTTTCTGCTCAATTAGATTCAAAATTGTGAGCCCACGAGACATAAAAAATTATGTAATTCTTGTAATTTTAGATCTTGTAAAAATTGACTAAAGATTGAAGATGAAACTACGATGAAGAAGAATTCAAGAATGTGCAGCAGAAAAAAAAGTAAAAGGCAACAGCGAGTTGCACATGCTGCTGCCATGCACAGCAGCTTGTTGCGTAAACTTGGATTCACGCATGTCGCATGGTTCTGCGTTGACTTTTGGTCTAGATTTGTTTTTGTGAATCGAGTTGATCTGGATAAGTCGAATTCGAAATTAATTTAATTTTTTTATAGGTACGGTGGCAAAGTCCTTTGCTATTTTTGGAGTGTTATCCTTGAATCCTTGAAAAATTTTGGGTTGAATATGTAAATTAAATATTGGGGTTGAGTCCAGTTAGTTTTTAATTTAACTCTTGGTCACTTTGAATCACAAATAATTGTTAATTTTATCGCTTTATGAATGATTTAAATTTTTTGTTTGAAATATTATCGTTCTAAATATCACGACTTATGTAAATTTATTTGAGACATCGCTCATGATACTATGAATATGATGTATATCATTGAACATCAATTTTTCTTTGATTAGTTTACTTTAGATTAAAATTTTTTGAAAGGAAAATTCGTAATAATTAAACTATATATTAATTTGACTAATGTGAACAATTGATAATTATTTTAATTTTTCTTTATTAATTTAATTTGGCTAAAAAATTTCTTGATTGAAAAATCGTAATAATTAAAATTGTATATTGATTTAATTAACATGAACAATTTATAATTATTTAGAATATTTATTTAATTTAATTTAGATTAACATTTTTTTGAAAGAAAATTTTTAATAATTATAATGTATATTAATTTGATTAATATGAACAGTTGATAATTATTTTAATTAAAATCTATTACTTTAACAGATTTAGTGGGAGCAAGTATTTATTTAAATAAAAATCCATGGCCCGCTTTAGTTAAGCAACAAGCAAAGTAACACGCTTGCTTTTTGCCGATAATGCAACATACTCCCTATTGAAGGGCATCGTAGTTCAAGTTGCTTGATTAAATTCCTTAATGGTAAGATTGTCTATATAAAAATCTAATTTGTGATCATCTTATAGATGGCGAAATTATTTTCAAGTATTTGGAAGTCTAGACAAAGATTATACACCTAAATCAAAATTATTTACGAACCTCCTATAGAGGCTTTCATTTATGATTTTGGTGATAAAATAAAACGATACTAGGTTTATATAGATACTTGTTGTCAAATATGATTTTTTTAGTGTGAGAATCCCAACTTGATTAGTAAACATAGTGACCTTTCCTATAGAGGGGCCTGTTGGATTACAATGATCAAATAATCGTTGCATTATTGTAGTTATCATGCATTATATGCTAAATTGTTATTTGCTGCCCAATTTTAATATGCAATGTATGGTATTTTTTATGCGAAATATCACTTGGCCAATTTTTTTTGGTTACTCTAAAACAAATCCAACTAATCGGGAAAAATCATGTGGATTGGAATCGAAATTCAATATTTGTGCTTAATATGGTATACTTAACTTTGTGCTTAACGGATGTCCTGATGGCCTAACTAAAACAATGTAATAAGTTCAAAAGACTGGATTGTTGAGTGGGAGACTGCAGATAAGATGGCTAGATGTTTCATTTTGATTTCGATGTCAAACATGTTACAACAAAATGCTTGAAAATCAAAGCACCTCCCATGACATACTAAAGACCCTTTAAGGCATCTTTGGTCATTGAAATATGAAGATTCTTCTGAAGCTATTTGTGCCTTATAGAACATTCGCATGAAATTTAGAATGCTTGTGAAATT